TCTGGGCCCTGTGGGCCGGCGTAGCCTCGCCCAAGCAAGCGGCGACAATGGTACAGAAGGCTCTGCCCAAGTTTGAAGCTGTTGGCGGCCTCCTGTCGGGCACAGAAGAATCCCGTGGCGTGGTCGGCCTGGAGAGGCCCAACCGTCAATGGGATTACCCTTATGGCTGGGCACCCCAGCAGATGCTTGCCTGGACTGGACTTGTGCGATACAGCTTCACCGACGAGGCCGAGCGACTGGCCTACAAGTGGCTCTTCATGATCACCAAGGCCTTTGTCGATTTCAATGGCGTAGTTGTTGAGAAGTACGACGTGACCCGGCCTATCGACCCCCACAGGGTCGACGCAGAGTATGGCAACCAGGGGCTCGACTTCAAGGGCGTCGCCAAAGAAGGGTGAGTTCTCCGACGACACGATGCGCTGGCGTGATCAGTGTGCTAACAGAAAGCAGATTCGGATGGGTCAACGCAAGCTATGTCTACGGCCTGCAAATTGTCAATGCCCACATGCGGCGTGCTCTGGGTACACTCACCCCGTACGAGACCTTCCACGACGCGATTGAGCAGAACAACGAGAAGCACTTGGCCGAACTTTCCTGAGTGCATATCTGGTGGAGAGGTGGTGGCATTCGTGCAACGGGCGTTACGAAAGTGGTGCAAACAGTACAATTGCCTGTGACGGGATGTTGGGCAGGGAATCGTTTGACATGGAGAGGGGTTCGCTTTTGTTTTCGTGTCTTGCCGCGGCATCTCGGATATTGGAGGTTGCAACAGGAGTTGGTGACGGACTGACGTGGATTGTGTATGCATGGTAATTCGGCTTGGTTGTATGAAGGTACGGCTGAATGGCGGGCAGGGTCTGGAAGACTGCTGAAAAGAGGTTAGAGCGGCTGCGAAGCCAGACCAGATATCCACCCAATGCGATCAATCATGGAGAAGTGTAATTTGATAAGTTGGAGAAATGGGATGGATCGAGGGGGCACACAGAAGCCCGGCACGTGTCGATCGGGCAAGTTCCGTGCAGCTTCAAGGCTCGTCGAGCTTGATTGAGCTTCAAGGGGGGTGGCCACACAGGGCATGTGACTGACATGAGGACATTCGGAGCGTGAGACGGTAGGGTGATTCCGGGGACAATGCTCGCGTAGGCGGCTGGAGTCGGACGAAACGTACAGTGTGAGGCCGAGGTATCTTGGTTGGAGAGAGAGAGAGAGAGAGAGAGAAAAAAGCTGAGGCCAGAATGTGTGACGCACGCCAGGAAAGCGTGATCAGCCTCTGGATTGCGCCGGCGCCAATGGCCGACTCAGGCACAACGAGTCTTCACATGCTCGACGGCCGCTACCCCGCAGGGGTTTTGGTTCGGAGCAGAAGCTCTCACTCAGGCGGTGGTGTCTGGGCCAGACGACGCTTCGTTTTGCACCTCGACCAGACGTATGCCTGATTTGCTTTGCAAGTTGAAAATCAGGAGCAACTTCGTGTTAGCATCTAGTGACGGAACCACCAAGCACATAGTCGCCGAGATGGCGTTGCAGAATCTCGGGGTCGGCAGACGTCGGAGTCGTCAGCGTGCAATTGCAGATTATTTCCCATGGCCCGGCTGCACAGCTGCACCGCTTGCCCCAGATTCGTCTCCTCTTTCTCTCCCCCAGGGCCCAGCAACAGGTACCGACCGCAGCGGGAGGGCCATGGCATGGCGGGGCACGGCGGGGGAGATGCAAGGAGCTTCGGCAACTCGGCCAATGACGGCAATGGGGAAGACCAGCTGCGGTTTCGCCCCAATCCGTCTGCCCCTTTGAGCCGAATCCAGACACCACCAGGCCGACCTCACGTCACCTCTTTCTCACACGGGTGCGTGTGTGCGTGTGTCTCTCTCCCGCGCTACCTTGGCCCGGGGAGGACTGGAAGACTGGAGGCGGAGGTTGACACACGCTTGACACCTCGCAACGCCCAAGCATTCCATTCCGTCCCCCCCACCAGCAGACAGTGCCGCATTGGGTCATGGACGTGGACGGCCAAGGAACGAAGACAAAAGTATACTGTACTTGGACTGGATCCCCATACCAAGCTATTCTCAGCATCCGAGGTTTGTTTTACCCACGGTCCTAGCCCCCGGCCAAGATCCGTCCTCCATGCCTCAACTCGCTGGGCAAATGAGGAACTGGCAGAGTCACTCACACTGTCCAACAGCTGGCCTGGGCCTAGGTCAGAGGTACTTGCCTCGAAACAGATGTAAGACGATTGGCCCAGGAACGCCTTTTGGCCGAACACTACCGATGGCGGTCATGCCTAGCCAGTGCTTGCTGCTGCTTCTTTATTGTCAAGCCTGCCTCTTCTTCTTCTTTTTTTGCTTGTGACTCTGTCCAAATTGACTTTCTTCTTTCTTCTTCCCCTCCAAGAAATCCTTTCTCCTCTTTGAACTCCGTCCATCATCAATTGAGTTGCGAATAGCATCCTTAGTCTGGTGCTACACGTCTTGTTCCTGGCCTGCCAAGTCTAGAAGTGATTCCGCGCACCACCAATTGTGATAACCCGTCTCGAGGCACCTTCCCGAGCAACCCTCCTTCCTCTCTTTACCTTGAAACAACGGCAACTGTCCGACGTACTACGCCACCAGATCGCCCGTCATGGCTGCCAACAACATGGTCAACCCCGCCGTGGACCCCAACGTCGAAGATGACCTCTTCCAGAAGGAAGTCGAGCAAGTCAAGCAGTGGTGGAGCGAGCCGCGATGGAGAAACACCAAGCGGCCATTCACTGCTGAGCAGATCGTCTCCAAGAGAGGTCACTTGAAGATTGAATACCCGAGTAACACACAGTCCAAGAAGCTGTTCGACATCCTCGAGAAGCGCTTCAAGAACAAGGACGCCAGCTACACCTACGGCTGTCTGGAGCCTACCATGGTCACCCAGATGGCCAAGTACCTCGACACCGTCTACGTATCTGGCTGGCAGTCATCGTCAACGGCTTCCGCCTCGGACGAGCCTGGCCCTGATCTGGCAGATTACCCCTACGTGAGTCATCGGTGGTTTTCCAACTTTCGGTCTGTTACTTACCAGCCTTGCAGACCACAGTCCCTAACAAGGTCGCCCACCTGTTCATGGCCCAGCTTTTCCACGACCGGAAACAGCGGCAGGAGCGCCTGAGCGCCCCGAAAGAGGCCCGGGCCAAGCTCGCCAACGTTGACTACCTCAGACCCATCATCGCCGACGCCGACACCGGCCACGGCGGTCTGACCGCCGTCATGAAGCTGACGAAGCTCTTTATCGAGAAGGGTGCCGCCGGCATCCACATTGAGGACCAGGCCCCTGGCACCAAGAAGTGCGGCCACATGGCCGGAAAGGTCCTCGTCCCTATTCAGGAGCACATCAACCGCCTCGTCGCCATCCGCGCGCAGGCCGACATCATGGGCTCCAACCTCGTCGCCGTCGCCCGCACCGACGCCGAGGCTGCCACCCTCCTCAGCACCAACATCGACCCCCGGGATCACGCATTCATCCTTGGCTCCACGAGCCCTGGCCTCCAGCCTTTGAACGACCTCATGATCGCCGCTGAGATGGCCGGCAAGAACGGTGAGCAGCTCCAGGCCATCGAGGACAACTGGCTCAAGCAGGCCAACCTGAAGCGCTTCGACGAGGCCGTTGTCGATGCCATCAAGGCCAGCCCCCAGCCCAACAAGGACGGGCTGGTCCAGAAGTACCTCTCGGCCGCTAAGGGCAAGAGCAACACCGAGGCTCGCGCGATTGCAAAGGGCATTCTTGGTGCTGACGTCCACTTCGACTGGGATTCCCCGCGCACGCGCGAGGGTTACTATCGCCTTAAGGGCGGCTGCGATTGCGCCATTAACCGTGCCATTGCCTACGCGCCTTACTGCGACGCCATTTGGATGGAGAGCAAGCTGCCCGACTATAAGCAGGCCCAGGAGTTTGCCAAGGGTGTCCACGCCGCCTGGCCTGAACAGAAGTGAGTCACAATGGGTCCTTGCCAAAAAGCAAAACAACCAAAGCTAACACATGAACCCTTTCAGGCTCGCTTACAATCTCTCGCCCTCTTTCAATTGGAAGACGGCGATGCCCCGCGCTGAGCAGGAGACGTACATCCGCCGCCTCGCATCGCTCGGCTACTGCTGGCAATTCATCACGCTTGCAGGCCTGCACACGACGGCGCTCATCAGCGACAAGTTCGCCAAGGCGTACAGCCAACAGGGCATGCGGGCGTACGGCGAGCTCGTGCAAGAGCCTGAGATGGACTCTGGCGTCGATGTCGTCAAGCACCAGAAGTGGAGCGGTGCGACGTACGTCGACGAGCTGCAGAAGATGGTCACCGGCGGTATCAGCAGTACCGCTGCCATGGGCAAGGGTGTGACGGAGGACCAATTCCATTAGTGACACGATAGGAGAGGCGTTAGTTTGTCGGTTGCGTAGCTTGGATGAGACTGTATGTTGGAAATGTATCTAGGCCTTAAGGAATATGGTTGGCAGCACGTCAATGAATTGTCATCTACTTTGCCTACCGGTCACTTGGCGTGACCCTTTGCCGCCCGACACCGTCCGGAACAGAAGCTGACCAGACCCACACCTGAGTTACCGTTCTGGGGCAGTCTCGCTTCGACTCCGGAGAACCGGACAACGGGAAAGAGGGACATGAAATCCGTAAAGGGTCCACAACGAGTTCTTTCTTCAACTTGACGGGAGGCCAGCCCGCAAAAGTCACAGCTGCGACTCGGAACATAGTGAATAACACCCTTGGTGGGAAAAGTGGGCACGGTGGCCGGGCCGTCTCCACTTCCACTTATCCTCATCGACCTCTACCGACAGCAACGCCTTGATGGCTATAACATGCCCGCTTCCCACGTCTGAGTATGCTCCCCGAGAGCCCTTAATTCTAGTTCAAATTTAATGACATCGCCGTAGTATCCGATTATACAGGAGGCGAGGCTTTCGAACTCTGATAAACACTTTGTTCATATCTGGCATCACGCATTGAGACCCATCCCACAACCCCGACAATGACATCCAAATCCTCCCCCATCGTCATCGTCGGTGCTGGCGTCTTCGGTCTGAGCCTCGCGCACGAGCTTGTGGCCAACCGGGGCTACACCTCCGTCACGGTCCTGGACCGCTTCCTCCCGCCCGTCCCGGACGGCAGCTCCGTCGACGTCTCGCGCATCATCCGCACAGAGTACGCCGACCCGCTCTACTCGTCGCTGGCGACGGACGCCCTCGAGGGGTGGCGGACTTCCAAGGTGTACAAGCCGCACTACCACGAGTCCGGCTTCGTGATGATGGCGAACGAGAAGGAGCGCCCGAGCCCGTATTTCGCAAAGTATCGCCAGTGGAGAGGCGAGGCGAAGGCGGGAGAGACTCCGATGGAGTTCTTTGAGCCGCCCCACGCGGACGCCGAGGTGAAGAGGCTGTACGCGGGCGTGCAGGCGGATCTGCGGGAGTTTGCGGCCACGCACAACACCGCGGGCGGGTGGGCCGATGCGGCGGGCGCGATCCGCGCGCTGGCGGGCAAGTGTACGCTCGCGGGCGTTTCGTTTGTGACGGGCGCCCACGGGACCGTCGTGTCCCTGCAGCGGTCCGGGGGCCGGGTGGCTGGCGTGCGGACGGCGGCGGGGACGACGGTGGAGGCGGAGAGGGTAGTGCTCGCGACGGGCGCGTGGACGAACCGGATCGTTCCCGGCGTGGGCCACGCGGTCGCGGCGTCGGGCCAGCCGGTCGGGTTCATCCGGTTGTCGGACGAGGAGGCGGCGAGGGTGAGGGACATGCCTGTCATGGTTAACATGAGCACGGGCGTGTTCTGCTTCCCACCGACGCCGGGGACGAACCTGCTCAAGGTGGCGAGGCACGGGTTCGGCTACGCGACCGAGTTCGAGGCCGAGGTCGCGGACCGGGACGACAAGGCGAGGAAGGTGTCGAGCCCGCGGTTGGCGGGGAGCAACGCCGCGTCCGGCTTCCTCCCGCGGGACGCGGACGAGGGGCTGCGGGAGGGCGTGAGGCTGTTCTTCCCCGAGTTCGCCGAGAGGGAGTGGGTGTACAGGCGGATGTGCTGGTATACCGACACGCCCGAGGGGGATTTTGTCGTCGACTACCACCCCGATGTTGAGGGGCTGTTTTTCGCGACCGGCGGTGCTGGACAGTCAGTATTCCCCCATTCCCCCGTTTTCATAAGCTGGTTGATACCAGGGTGGAAAGAGTATGCTGACCCCGTAACTACAGCGCCTTCAAGTTCCTGCCCGTTATCGGCACGCACGTCGCGGACTGCTTCGAGCGCAAGGCGTCCACGGCGTTACGGGAGAAGTGGAGGCTGAGAAGGGCCGTTGGCGGCGAGACTACGTTGAAGATGGCGGGGGACGGGAGCCGGGCTGGGCCGGCGCTGCGGAAGCTTTCGCCGCAGGAGCAGGCGAAGCTGTGAGGTGGCAGCAGGTGGTTTGCTTGGAACAAGCGTCCCTTTGTTTCACTACGAGACCTTTGACGGCGTGTATGTTTTCGTGACCTGATTATCGAATCCCATGCTTCTTACCCAGGTACCCTCCTATGCTATGCCAGTTGCGACGCCAAACGCCAACGCTGGAAGCAGGAGTACGACTTTCTTCCTACATGCGCGCTCCGAGTAGCAGTAGGCTGCGTCTTCCGTTTTAGGGTTTCAATACGCGATCTTGAACCGACCGAAGAAACCCCGCACCCTCGAGCGATGCGGTTGTGCCAAGATAGATTTGGTGGCAATGGGTTGTCGCCCTCGTAAAATTCATGGATCAGGTTTCCTAATTAAACTTGCATGCCGAGCCGCCTCTTCGCCATGGACAGATCAGTCCTCATGTCTGGCTTCCCGCTGGGGCCCGAATCGTCATCTTGATGAAAGTTTCCAAACTGGTATCCCGCTTGGGTCTCTGACAGCGTCATTGCCAGGGTGAACTTGCTCGCTCGGTCTGGCGGCAGCTCGTGTAAGGCCAGCCTCGTGCTCAACGGATCTGTATACATCGGCACTGAAATTGTTCACCTAGGGGGGTGAATGTTGACTTGTGCTACTTACCTAAGATGGATCTGTACCTCGGGTAAAGGCTCTTGATACCTGGAACAATGTCGTCTTGAGGCTTCGAAAAGAGCACTGCTTGATCTATTTCAAGGTTGCTGCAGCCACAGCGTGCCGCAAAAGCAGCAGTAAAGATGAAAATGCCGCCGGGTGTCACTCATGAGGAGAGGAACGCGACGAGGCTCACCCATCCTTGAAGCACGGCGCTCATCGGTGTGCTCAGAACAATGGCAGAACTCCTCTTGGCTCGACTTACGGCGAAGGACTACATGTGGACATTCGTGTCGTCATTTATTATGGTGCGAATTCTAATATTGAAGACTTCTTCAGTTAAAACGCCGTTGTTCCTTGCCGTGGAAGCTGGCTACTGGGAAGATGCGAAATGGTCCCTGAACCATGGAGCACACATCAACGACAAATCCACAAGCGACATCACCATACGAAAAACCCAGAAGCAAGGAGTTGACCATCTGCCTTCATTTACTGTTACGTGGCCAGTTTACCGTACTGACAAACATGTGTGGTCATCGAGAATGTGGAGTTCAATGTGGCAAGAGATGGATGATGTATGCCATTTTACTACGCTCTGTCAAACAGACATACGAATTTGCTCATTTTGCCTCCCGTTCGCAAAGTCGGTTTTGCTACTTTTACACAAGTCCAAGATCCTTCTCCACCATGCCCCGGCAAATAGGGTGGTAAAAGTCTCTGTTCTTCTCAAAAGTCTTGGTCGCAAGCTCGCGGTCGACCTTGTTCAGCGAACGGTACATGGGTCTCACAAACTTCATGCGGCCCACGTGGCCCAGCAAGTCGGCGGCACCCTGGTACGCAGAGGAGTCCTCGGCAGCGAGCGCGATCTTGTAGTACGCCGTCTTGAGCTCGGCGTTGCGCGACGAGACGAGGTCGTACGTGGTTCCCAGCAGGCGCGCGCGGTCAGCGGACAGCGGGCTGGGGAACTTCTCAATGCTCTCGAGGAGAACCAGCTTCTGGTTTCCGGAGAAGGAGGCAACGTCCTCGGGGGAAGGTTTGAAGCTCTCGTCCTTCCAGTTCTCGGCGAGCTTGTAGCAGACGTCCGCCAGAGTCGTGTCGAACTCGGGCTTGGGCGGGAGGCCGGGCTGGTAGAACCACTTGTCCCAGTCGATGGAGGCGACCTTGGTCTTGATCTCCTCGTCGCCGAGACCGTTGAAGTAGGCGAGGAAGGTCTCCTTGAACTCGAACGAGTCAAGAGACTTGCGGGACCACTTGGTGAAGTAGTGGGGGATGAACTTGTCAAAGACATCGCGGCCCACGAGACGCTCCAGGTAGTACAAGAAGTGGAAGCCCTTCTCGTAGGGGACGGTGCTGAAGGCGTCATCAGGGTCGATGCCCTTGTGGTTGATAATGAGCTTGGTGAACTCGGAGTCGTTGCCGAAGAGGGCGACGGCGTCCTCTGTATAAGGATTAGTAAGAGGCTCCTTGAGGTGCCATGGGAGCGAAAAGGGGCGAATGCATCAACATACCGAGGGCCTTCCAGCCAATAATGGCAGAAAAGTCGCGCTCCGCATCTCCGTGAACAGCCATGCCGATACGGCGCTCAAGGTACGTAGTCCATCCCTCGTTGAGCCAGCTGGAATAACACTGTCAGCCTACGCCTCATCACTGATGCTCAACCATCATGTCACTTACAAGTGCTCCCAGCTGCAGCTTGTGACCAAGTTACCACTCCAGGAGTGGCTCAGCTCATGCGCAATGACGTCCACATTCTGCTTGTCGCCGCTGATGATGGTCGGCGTAGCAAAGGTGTAGATGGGGTTCTCCATGCCTCCGTAGGGGAAGCTAGGCGGCAGCACCAGCACGTTGTACTGGCCCCAGCGGTAAGGGAAGACGAGCTTCTCGGCCACCTCCATGAACTTCTCCATGTCGTTCTGCAGCTCCCACTGCGACTCCTTTAGTTCGTCAGGACCGGTGGCAACGATGCTTCGCGGACCAATGGGCGCCGTCGCGATGTCTCCGGACGCCAGCGCGAACAAGTACGACGGGATCGGCACCTTCTGTTCGAAGCGGTACACCGTATCGTCGCCCTTCTTCTCGGCCTCACCCTCGACGAGCACACCACTGGCCACGACGGGCAGCGGCGATGCGAGGACAAAGGTGTACGTCGACTTGACGTCGGGAGTGTCCTGGCAGGGGAACAGAGAGCGGGCGTGGATGGCCTGGCATTGCGAGAACATGTACGGGTGCTTCTTGTTGCTCGTCTGCGCGGGCGTGAGCCACTGCAGCGCGGTGCACTTGTCCGTGGTGGCCAGGTCGACGTCGACCTTGACGACTTCGCCCTTGGCGGCACCCTGGGGCACGGAGACGTGCAGCGGCGCGCCATAGGGCTCCACGCGGTCCTTGAGCTCCCAGGTGGAGGCGGCGGCGTTGACCTTGACGCCCGAGATGGAGAGGAAGCTGGAGTCCAGGATGATCTCCTTGCTCTGCTTGTCCGTCAGGGACTCGAGCTCGAGCGTGACGGAGCCCTTGAGCGACTTGTCCTTAAAGTCGATGGTGAAGTTGGCCGTGGTGTGCTTGGTCAACCAGGCGCCATAGTTGGAGAGGGTGTTGGGGTCTCTGTTTCCGGAGGTCGTCGCCATCTTTGCGGTGGTGCTGCCAAAGGCGGCTGCGCGGTTTGGGGGGCTGGTGATGCGGGTAAGGCTTGTTCTGAGCGGAATCGACCCCTTTGAAAGAAGAGATCGCCACATGTGAGATTGTTGACTTTGCGGAGCTCCAGTCTCCAGAATTTGATATCTCGAAATCCTCTCGCGATGTCGTTGGAAGGCACTTGCCACATTTGGACTAGAGGGGTAGCTTCAGCCACGCGAGATGCGGGCATTGTGCAGGCCCAGCCACACCGCACGCCACACTTGCAGACCCCGTTGCCGGCCCGGCTTGGCTCTACTCCACGTCCACGTTAGTTTCAGCGACTGGAAATCCTTTCCAGTGTTCAGCTTTCATCCCAAACGTTCCAAGACCCCCAAGAGTGAAGGCTATCAACCCCTTCATCCAGCCAGTCAGCCAACGTTAGTGCCTGAGCACCTGTTCCACGCATGTCGAGATGCACGCCTCTCCATTTGAGATGCAACCTACGCTTTGATGACGGTCCATCAGCCCAAGTACACATGTAGTTCTGTAAATTCCAGATACAGGAAGCCCAAACCGTCGATAAGCTCACATGAGCTCGGCACGGGGTATCTCCGTGTAGGTGGTGATTCAAGTACAATACCACGCATTACCAGCACACACCTTGACGCCAGACCTGCAGGACGGGACAGCCAACAGCCTGAAACAGTGCTGCCCTCTCTGAGATGGGATCTCCCTGCCTGACGTACGAATCTGGCCCTCCGGGGTATGGGATGTGCAAGCCGTACCTTGTGCCTGCTGGGCGTCCCGACCTCGCCCCTGATCTCTCTGTGTGTCTATCTCCCATCGTTCCCGAGTGGCTGTCATGTCACACCCTTCTCCCCCTCTGTCACAGGAACATACCCACACAGGCGCGCCGAGGAAGATTCCGCAGACCCAAGGACCCGAACACACACATACACACACACACACACACACACACACAAGACGACCGCGCCGTTTCTTCAAGGGTGGAGAAACCGGACGAAAAGTCTCCTTCACCCGGTCCCTGGTCTTGGGGGGGCATGAGCCTGGACCTGAAGGCTCCGTGCCAGGTGGTTCGTTCGATGTCTCGCCTGGCCCAGACCCAGAGGTTTCGAAACCGTCATCGACGGAAATATCTCAGCCTGCAGAGGGGGATGGCCGAGGAAAATGTAGTCATGATGATGATGCTCTTTTCCCAATATTTGCCGGGCATCCAGGCCGTGGCCGTCCCCTCCGCGACCTCGAGCAGCGGGAGCCCGATCGATTCGGGTTCGTCACGTTGCCCGTCATGCGCGCCTGCCTCCTTTCCCTCTTCTCGCCTGGACCCCCGGCTCGATCTCTTGCAACAAATCCTTCACCATCTGCAAGCATCCAAAAGAAGCTTCACGCGACGCTCCGTACGGACATCTCGTGACCGCACCTTTTGAGATGAGGTCTTTTCGGCCTCCTGCCCTTTCTTGACTTCGTCCTTGCCCAGCCCCCAAGCGAACCCGCCCAGAAGCGGTAACTATCCTACTCGACGACGCAGCATGTTGGACAGGGGAGGGGTCTCGCGTCTGCGAATCCGCCGCCGTCGGCTTCAGTACGCTAGTGTACTCCTTCTCGCAGTCACACCGGCGGCGCCGCATGGCGTGAGCTGCGGAGTCGCCCGTTCCAACATCCCCGAGGGTGTGGCAGGCCCCATCGTGGCCCCCTTCCCACCCCCCGGTTCAAAATGATTAGATACGTAGTTTAGAGATATGTGACAGGGCCTGCATCTGCTCGCAGACAGGCGAAATTCCGCAGAAACCTCGTAATCGGTCCCGTGAGGGAAGTTTACCAGGTGGGCACGTGCCGGATCCGGCGAGAGTTGTACACGGTATTCTTGCCTGGGAAAGCAATGGTATGATTTACTCTCAATACCAATGTCGCTTCTTGCAACTATACTTGCAATTATAGACTGAGAAAAACCCCATCCTCAAACCGGACGATATTCTCAGAACGAGAGACGTTACCGAAATTTGACATGAGACACCGAGACTATCGATGTCTGGGGCTTGTATCCGATGACCGCACGCTGCATCGCTTCTCCATCCCAATCTCATCCATCCATCCATCACCGATAATGAACCGGTCGATAATGTATACAGGGCTCCTTGGGGGAGCTTGCCCGACCTCCTTTTTACCCCACATTCGATGGGGGGGCCAGCGCCGTCAAAAGACTTAAGTGTGTCACAGAAACCCACATCCTTCTGGAAGCTTGCGCCCAACCGGAGCGCAAGCAGGATGCAGGGATCCGGCCGTTTCCCGGTGCGAGAGGGGAGGGGCGTTGGAGATTGAAAAAGGGGCTGTAATACCTCTGTTTCCTATAGCGTATATGCCACGCCGCCTAAGATAAGATCTGAGCTATCGCGCTGGGAACGGTCGTCCGGTTTGTGCAACGTTTGCCGATATTTTGTTTTACGAGGTCTCCGTGCTGGGGCTGGTCCCCAAGGGCCTGGGTTGGGCTGTGCAGAGATCCAGGCGAGGGAGCTCTCGTATCTACGCATGAAACAGGCCGGAGGTGTGACCATCAGATTTCGCGCAATGCGCATCAGCCCTGGTGTTCTGTACGAACGAGGGAAGACCACGTCCGCCGGGTAATGGGACAGATTAAGGGCCATCACAGCGCAAAGGCCACTGGGGGCACCGCGGCTTGGAGATCCGGACCCTTGGCTTGTCAGCTCTGACAAACAAACCCGTGGAACACCTGCCAGCAGCTGCGTGCATGGGTGAGGGCCACGATGATTCGCTGACTAGTTGCCTTCTCCAGGCCTCAAAGCCCTAGGGGGGGCACTTGGTTTACCAGGGGAGGATGTTCAGTAGTGATTGAAGGCAGCTGGCGATAACTTTTGTTTAGAGGTGGAATCCGCGGCGAAGATTCGGCTCACGGAGGATGGGCACCTTTCGAGTATGGGACGCTTCTCGCCGTGCTTGATCCGGGTCCAGCCCGCTGCTGCATTGGATGGACCGCGGTTTCGTACCACTGCAGGTGCGTGGCGACCTTGCCCATGGGCCATGGAGGAGGCCCCATGGACAGGCAACACCCAGCAGCAGATGCAACAGCAAATGCAGCCGCGAAGAGCACCGCGCCGGGAGAGCCAAGACCAAGGAACAACACCCCAGCAGCGGCCTGCCGATGGTGCGGCATGGCCAAACCATGAATGGGAGTCGTGGGCCGTGGAGCCCGCTAGATAACATCCGTATAGTGTCCCTCCCAAGATGGAGGGACGCTAACAATTCAAGCTTAGCAGGGAGCTTCGTGCCGGGTCTCGGGCACAACTCGTGGCTCTCGCACTGGTGCTGTACCGGGGCGGCAATTGACCGTGATCGGCCGAGTCCGCCAAGAAAAGAGGGGACGGGCGAAAGGCACGGCGGGATCTTGACCACAGAAAACCCAGATCGGTGCCGACCGCCCAAAGGCCGGGCACGAAAGGGTACGATTCCTGCCCGAACCCGAGAGCTTTGGTCCTGCGGGGAGGTGATCTAGCCTGGCGTGGAGCAACGTCAGTGCCAAAGCGACGAGCGTTGGGTTCCTTGATAGAGATGACAACGGGCACGCACACACGTCTTCGGGAGAGGCCCGAGTTCGGGCAGGCGTTGGCGTGCCGCTTCGTCTGTGCAAGACTGCGAACCGCCGATGGCTGTGCACCACGGACGATTAACCGCGATAACGTGGGACGGGACCGAGGGCCACCTTTGCAATGTTGGCGCGCTAACTACGACTGAGGGGCACCGCCACGAGATATTGACAAGACAGCTTTAGCGCCGCCGCCAGCCGAACCTTAGCGATGGATTAATCAAAACGAAGCCGTCCGGCGTCCGCGAAAAGGGCTCCGACCCCTCATCCCGCCCCTCTCCACCGGCCTCCGACGCTCCTGCGACTACGATGGCTTGGTCATGCATCATCAGAGCCTGTGGTGACTGGTCGGTCCTGGGGAGGACTGACGTCTATGAATCGGATCGTCCGTCGTAGGTTAATTTGCTCAGGCTGGGGAAACGGAAAAAGGTCTGGTTGACAACCATGTGGCTCCCGGCATTTCGTCCTCTTGTGCGCGGTAATCGTCGGAGAAAAACTGGACCTTCTCTCCTTGGGGATTTGACTGTTGATCTCCTTCCAGATATGCCCGTTGATGTGCAGCTCCCGAGACGGGCCCCCCAAAGTCAAAATTATACGACGAAAAGAATCTTCCGCAACGCGGGCGTGCTGATCAAACGCCCCCGTCGCGGACCACCCATACCCATGTCGTGTCTCTTCTGGAGTCTGAAAGCTCCAAAACCCGAGGCTAGGGATGCCCTCCTTCCACCGCCTTGCTGTCCCGAACCTGTGGCTGGCAGGCAAGGGTCTCATGAGTCTAGCTGTTGCTCTAATTTGCGCTTCAATGGGTCTGATTGTGACTTTCCTCTTTGTTGCAACTTGATGCCAGTGGGGGTCCGACTTTGCCCACCACATAATACCACGGTGATGAACCATCACAGACTAACATGACTTTTCTTGCCACCATGCCAATCTTCAACATCTGGCCTTTGCGCTCTGACCCTGGATGGTTCCCTTCCAAACGACCCCGGAGTGCCATGTGCCTAAGTAGATGCCTTCGGCCATGGGGGAGACGTGACATACCCTGCGCTCGCTGCATACCACAGTCTCTGCCCACAACCAGGCCTTGCTGCCGCTGTTGATGACAAGGAGAATATGCGTGGGTTTTTGATGGCCATTGACGAATCGTAGGCCAGAGACGCGTGCTAGGCCGGCCTGCCTGGATGAAACGGTGTTTCAACCCCGCACTTGAAGGGCACCCGGGTGTATGTACTCGACCCGAACCTGCATTCCTTTCAGACGAAGGAAGGCGGAGGCTCGCACAATCCGAGGTGTTTTCCCATGCATAATGTTCCGAACGTAAGTTGGGCTTTCTTAGCTTGCAAGTGCTGGACTGCGGAGTTGCGCTCTCATCAGCCAGGTTGCCGTCTCTTCAACCCACAGTTGCGATATCAACTGGTGACATTGGTGGCGCGTCGCTCATCATGGGCATAAACTCACAAGGAGGCCAGACCTGAGACCGAAGCCGAAGAAGACCCAGGATGGACATGAAGGCGGGTTACCGTCGTGCTGTCATATCTCGTGGGCTACCGTAAAGCGAGTTTCGAAGGAGTTGTAAGCGATGTAAGGCACTGGCGCTAAACAGGGGGTTGCGACGAACTCGAGTCTAGTGCCTACCATTATATGCATGTATTATAGGTTAGGGTCCAGGGATACCGGAACGATCACGGGTTGACCCAAGGTCAGATCCTTACTTATCTTCGTTTAGTTGAAGGGGATGCCTGCCGTTGTGTTGGCTTCGCACAGAGTAGAGCGGCAGCAAGTCCGAGTGACACCCCTCAAGCCTAAATGTGTTCCTCGTGGCGTGTCGGTTGGTCATCACTTGGGATATCGTCGCATCAAATTCAATGGTTGCACTTCCTAGTCCTCATACACACAAGCTGCTACCTTCCGGCCCCACTGAGGCTGTTTAGGAAGCTTGTTTCTGGCATACGAGGTTACTCTCTTACGGACACAGGGTCCGGCTGGGAGGTATCTGGGAGGCAGAGAGAGAACGTCTTTCGGCGACGTCCGTCTGTACAAAGTTTGCTTTGCTCCAACACCAGAAGTCTTTTGGGCTGGGAACCCCCGTTTGGCAATGATCGAAGCGCAACTTCTGTATTTGCTACATCTGTGTGACGTGCGATGCGTCGCAATTCATCTCTGGACGGACGCCGCAGTCGTATGCGGGGGGGCAAGCTGTAAGTGCAACAGTGGGAGCAATGACCAAGAAATGGACCGACGGTTGTGTCTGGTAGCGGGAAGACAAGCGACCGCAAACGGGATATTGCGAAAGGCCAGGAGACCGACCATGAACCTTTACAATAGAACCAGCCAGGGACCTTCGGATCTAAGAGTCTCAGCCACCTGTCAGAAACCCGGGGAATACTCGCCTAGCTTAACGCCGCGGTGCA